GTACGATATGTGATACATGCTAGGTGAAAGAGAGATATCCCTTGGAGATACACTGTATTGATAAAATTGTAGAAATTTGTTTAAGGATGAAAGTAGTTCCATGTGATAGAACGATTATGTTTGGAAATTACCAATGTGAGGAGACTTATATGTGAGGAGTACGATATAGTATTTTGAGTTGGATATCCAGGATAAAAATGTCGATGATGAGGAAGTTGAGGTATAAACAAATGAAATATATGTTGAATCTGCAATATTGGTACGACATAATGAGTAAAAAAAAAGGTTAGTTGGTGAAAATCTTAGGCATGAGACCTTTGATGCGGAAGTCATTGATGGATTTTGTGTTTAGACTTGGAGATGGCTAATTTGATAGATAGACGAACAATAGGTGAAAAATTATTGATATGACGTTGTAGGTGGAAAATTTCATGAATGGTTTTGTGGTTGAAGGCCTTAAATGGCTAATCGGAAATATAAACTATTATTAAGGTTGTTAGTTTCGTATCACAAAGAGAAAAATATAGTTGTGATTATCTAAGAAGAGGTGAAGACATGTGACAAAGTAAAGTATATAAATATGGAATTTACTGTGAGTTGGAATTATAGGATACTGTAGGGGATCATTGAAATTAGAAGGTATATGCTTAGTGAAAAGCTAAGACGTCAATGAAATTGTAAGATCAGTATTATCAGTGGAAAGGACAGGTATCCTGGTGTATTGTTGAAACAATATTACCAGCGAAAAGATTGAACTATTAAAGAAATGAGGAGTTAAAATAGTCAGGAAATAACCGATAAACATACATGGAAACCGTTTGAGGTTGTTGTGCATGACCTTGGGTCAGAAAAATAGATAAAGAGAAAAATGAAGGGAGGTTAGGCAGACAAAGTTGTAATATAACCATATTATTACCTACAAATTAGCAAAAGTGCAACCGTAGCCTATGAAAAATTTAAAATATAGTGAATTAAAAAGTCATATCACTGAAATTATCAAGTGTTTGTGAAAGATTGAGGAACGAAAGATACCACAAAAATAAGGTTATGCCTGTGACGAAAGTAAATGGTAAAGACGCGCGCCTGAAGAGGCTACTTGGGAGTGGAAGGACGAGATTCTCCGTCTATATCCCGAGTAGTGGGCCGGTTCAATGCTAATTTTGCAGACAAAATTTCTAGAAGGAGGGGTGAATATAACACCTCACATTTCTAAAACATATATTAATATATTAAATATGGATTAAAGGGAAAGATTAGTGAAAATCCTGAAATTAAGAATGCATGTTATGCCATGATTTACTTCGCACGCACATAAAAAAAATATGGATTTATGATGTACATGAGCATGACAAAAATCAGAATCAGAATACCATGGTTCTCATGGATTTTTAACACCAACATCTCGAATAACAAGTGTCTCCAAAATAGAATTTCAATGAATCTAAGTCCAAGGGCAGATTACAAATAATGTCTAACAGAATACATATCCATAGGCACACGTGAGAAACCATTCAGAATTTCATGCATTAGCTAATAGTCACAAAAGGCTAAGCCACCTAACACTTACCTTGGAGTGTCCAAATATTAACCAAACAACACCAAAATCAGCCCACACTCTAGGAATTATGCGCACCTAAGCAAGTGTACAACAAGTCAGAATTTTGTGCATGCTATCCTATAATTTATAATCAATTCCCATGCCTCCCAATTCTTGTATTTTAATCGGTTTACCATGCTCCTTATACTAACTCAATTTCTGACTTCATATTAACTTAATAACTTGTTAACAGTAATAAAATCCAAGGTTTTCCAACACATGCAGATTCGGTTTTCATCATTAAAGAGATGCTCAGGATTTTTATTTACATAATCAACCCTACTAAGCCCAAGAGTGCGCAAGGAGGGACATATAAGCAGGCTATACACTCAAGTTTAACTCATGCAAAGCCTAATAAATTTGTCTAACCCAAGGAGCAGTCCAACAACATTACAAGGGAGCTATTTTCCAAGCTCACAATTCGGGTTTTTGTGCTTACGCTCTTTCACCCTCACATAGAATTCAACGGAAATAAATATGATAAATTCATATCAAATTGAATTTTTTATTTATATTGTCAGTTATAAAGATTTCTTACTGGCGAGCTACGACAATAGCACCTTACAAGCACTAGGTCCAAGAGTTGTCTAAATGAGCAGAAACAAAGAATAGAAATTGAAAACAAAGCTAACTTCCCAAACATGCTTGCAGGCCGAAACAGAGAAGAGAAAATGCAAGGCTTGAAACTCGGCTTTACCTTCTTGCATGCACTCGAAGGACCACCAATTGGATAAGGATCAGCACTTCAAACTTTCTATACTCCAAAGAAAAAAAAAAAAGTCCAGTCCTTCTTAATGTGGACCGTGCGCACAAGGGAAGAGAATGAAGGGTGTGAGTCCAGATTTCAATCTGCATGCACACGAAAATTCCTCATCAAACTGAAGGGAGGGAAGGAGGAACAAAAGTAGGGAATATACTACACCTCCTTGCTGATTGGTACACGACCGAACTAGGAAGGAGAAGAAGAAGATGCTTAGGTCTTTTGTTCTTTGCTCATGGAGCTCACGGCTTGAGAGAAAATAGGGGATGGGATACAATTTTTTTTTGTGTTCTTTCTATACTAAGCTTGCGGTCTTGAGAGGATGAGAGGAGGAGAAATTGTTGAGTGTGTTTCTGAATGTAAGGACCATAAAATTTTCTTGTTCTACTCCTAATATGCGCACAAGTGAGGGAGTGAGGATAAGGAAAAGTGTGTGTGTGATTTTTGACCAATAGAAGAGCATGCAAACAGAATACTCTCCTCCCATTGGTTGCATGGGGCGGCTAGGGCTGATTGAATTTGGATAGTGTGACAAGTATTCGGCTTTCTTTCTCTGTATACAATGCGCATAAGAAAGGGTATAAGGGTGGATATGAGTTGCCATGTGGGGCTTCTTAACCAATAATGTAGTGACATGAAATTTCCTTAGGATAAGAGTAGGGTTTAGCTAAAGGACCATGTGTAAGTGTAGGAAAATCTTGGGCTGAATTATACCTCAATTTAGAGGCTTAGGGCCGATGCCCTAATGGGTCCTATGGTCCAAAAATTTTAGTCTCCTAATAGATCACCTATCACATTTAATATCCCACTAATTATTATTTCATGTACACACTTAATTATTAACTAAGATGTTTATACGTCGTAAATAAAATTAATCACATACTTTTAACTAGTATTCGAATTCCCAAAGCGTACTCACACATAACTGCAACTATAATAATTTTCCTAATTTAAATTAATACTACCCTAAATATATATACATATAATTCGAGTTCAAGACATGTATTCACATTACTAATGGCAATTTGTATACATTCCTAATTTTTACGGTATGTTACACTCTCCCCACCAAAATGGAATTTTGTCCGCAAAATTAGACTTACGTACTTAATTAAAGAGTTCTGGATACTGATTCTGAATGTCGTCTTCACGCTCCCAGGTGGCTTCATACGTGGATTTATTGTTCCAAAGCACCTTCACCAACGGTATCTCCTTGGAACAGAGTTGTGTAACAGACCTCTCGAGAATTTGGAATGGTTGAACAGGATACGTCAAGTTTTTCTCTAACTCCGCTTCTTCTGGCTGTAGTACATGGGATGGATCATAGAGATATCTTCTCAACTGTGACACATGAAAGACATTATGAATTCCTGACAAATTAGGCGGTAACGCCAAGCGATACTTGAGTTCAAACTCATAATCTTTCAAGAATTCTGTCCACCGTCGTTGCCTCATGTTTAGTTCCTTCTGATCAAACAAATACTTCAGACTCTTGTGATCACTGAAAACATCAAATTGTTAGCCATACAGATAGTGTCTCCAGATTTTTAGTACGAACACTATGGCTGCCAACTCCAGGTCGTGAGTAGGGTAATTTTCTTCGTGAGGCTTTAATTGTCGTGAGGCATAAGCCACGACCATACGATCTTGCATCAAAACACATCCAAGTCCCTTCAGAGACGCATCACAATACACCTCAAACTTTCTAGTGGGGTCCGGAATAGTAAGCACCGAAGCACTGGTCAATCTACCTTTTAGCTCCAAGAAACATTCTTCACAAGCGTCAGTCCACTCAAAAGGCATTCCCTTCCGAGTGGGACGGGTGAGAGGCTGCACTAATTGCGAGAAATTCTGGATGAATCTACAATAATAGCCTGTAAGTCCCAAGAAACTCCACACTTCAGTGACGGTCTTAGGTCGTTCCCAATTCATTACTGCTTCCACTTTGCTGGGATCCACAACAATACCTCCTGCTGAGATTACGTGACCCAAGAACTGGACTTCACTTAACCAGAACTCACACTTCGACCACTTGGCATACAATTGTTTCTCCTTAAGGATTTGTAAAACTATCCTCAAATGTTCAGCATGCAATTCTTCATTGGTAGAATAAATCAGAATGTCGTCGATGAATACAATAACAAACTGATCCAAGAATGGGCGAAAGATACGGTTCATATAATCCATGAATACCGCCGGAGCATTAGTAAGTTCGAACGGAATCACCTGATATTCATAATGACCATATCGAGTCCTAAAAGCTGTTTTCGGAATGTCCTCTGGTTTAACCCGGATTTGATGACATCCCGATCGTAAGTCTATTTTGGAAAACACCCTGGCACCTCTCAACTGGTCCATCAAATCATCAATCCTAGGAAGCGGATATTTATTCTTCACTGTCACCTTGTTCAGTTGACGGTAATCCACACACAAATGCAGACTACCATCTTTCTTCTTAATAAGAATGGCTGGAGCACCCCACAGAGAAGTACTGGGCCTGATGAATTCTTTTGACAAAATTTCTTCTATTTGTTTCTTCAGTTCCCGAAGTTCCAAAGGTGCCATACGGTAAGGAGCAATGGAAATAGGCCCAACTCCAGGAAGAAGTTCAATGGGAAATTCTATCTCCTGATGAGGAGGTAATCAAGGAATTTCATCGGGGAACACCTCCTCGAATTCATTAACAACTGAAATATTTTGAAGTTGAGTATCAACCGTACTCTCAGACTCAATCGACAACAGATACCCTTCAGCTCCCCAAAGGAGTTCTTTTCTAACTTGTAATGAAGAAATAGTAGCAAAAGACTTAAAATTACCATCTTTCGAAGGAACAATGACCTTTCCTGCTTGACAATCCAAAGTTATTCTGTTCTCCGCCAACCAGTCCATACCGATAATCACCTCAAGACTTAATACCGGTAGAACCACTAAATTCACTGTATAAGTACTTCCTTCAAATTGCAGAATACAACCCCTGCAGATTTCTGATGCGGTACAAGATCCTCCAGTAGGAGTACTGATTTGCAACTCATACGGTAAGGGAGCCAGGGTGATACCTATTCTCATTGCAGTGTGCCCCGCAATAAAAGAACCTGATGCTCCAGAATCAAAGATAACAGAAAGAGGATAATCATTCAAGATTACATTACCTCTGATCAGATTCGGATACTTTTGAGCTTCATTGGCATAAAGGGTGAACACCCGAGCTTGACTAGAAGGCTGATTGACATTCTGTGGGCAATCAGAAATGAAGTGTCCCGACTGTCCACACCTGTCGGCAAATACCAGTATGATTCTTTCCAGTAGTAGCACAAGCATTGGGACCCTGTCGTCAAGCTGATGATTGTCCAGGAGCATTATTCTTCTTGAAGTTTCCAGTCCGAGGTTGAAATTGCGGACCCTTGCCTCTATTCATTCCGGTAATCTTTCTGAAGAACCGACCAACTTTACTTCCTCCTTGTGATTGCGCTGGCTGTTTAGACAAACTCTTAGCTTCATTTATAATTTCTTCTGCTTGCCGACTCTGATTGATTAATTCAGGAAGAGTACGATTTGTTGTAGTTAACATAAGTTTGCGGATCTCTGGATGCATTCTACTTTTATATTTTTCCACTTGCCACTCTTCATCATAAATATTTCGATCAAAATTAGCATATTCCATCAGCTGCCCAAAATTTGCAATATATTCATTGACAGTCATATTATTCTGCCGTAGTGCCAGCTATAAGAACCCAAAAATCATGTACTCGAAATTAGCCTGATGAAATGAAATCAAAGGGGCAAAGCCCATATTCAGTGAATGATTAGCTTTTGAAAAAGCAAAACTAGTCCTAAGTTAGAACGACCTTGAACCCACGCTAACTAAGATAAGTAAGAACCCAACTCAATAAGGTTTAAAGCCTAACCAATATCATAGCCCAATCGGCTTAAGAATGTAAATAAGTTAAGACCAAGTGAGAAAGGATTTAAGCCCAAGCAATGCAAGCCCATTTTATTGAATAAGATTTGGCCCAAATAGTATACACATAAAGACCCAAGCCCACATCAATTATACAAAGCCTTGGCCCAATCACTAATGATCCAACTTCTAGTAACTTAATGGGCTGAAAACACCCACCAAGCCCAACCCAATTCAAAAGATAAACCCTTGATGAGGTGTCACCACATGATTGGAAGAATTTGAATTAGTTCTAACCCTCACATGTCCACCTCGGTTTTAACAAAAGAGGATGGGGTTGCTTTCCCCACACTAGGCGCTACATAAGGAAAGGAAAGGTGATGTAGGAGTTGTGTAAGACACACTCCAAAGCCCTAATCATGAAAGTGATCCCCTTTCTCCAAAAAGCAAAAGCAACTCTCATTTCTCTTACACACCTTGAACAACGCAAGCATGACGAGAAAAGGAAGATTTCTTCTTCCACACTCCAACGCCTAATCATGCAAAAAGAAACTCTCATTTCTCTTACACACCTTGAACAACGCAAGCATGATGAGAAAATGAAGATTTATTCTTCCACACTCCAACGCCTAATCATGCAAAAAGCAACTCTCCTTTCTCTTACACACCTTGAACAACGTAAACATGATGAGGAAAAGAAAGGTTTCTTCTTCCACACTCCAAGTCATGCATGACACATCACAAGAACCAAGTATTTCCCTTCTCTCTAAGCACACCTACACGGTCACCAAGGTGGAATCACATGACCAAATCTCCTTCTCTTCTCTCAACCTCGGCAAACCACCTTCATGGAACCAAGAAAACTTATCACACTCAAACCACTCACACACTCCACACTCAAGCACCCTCACCCTCCAATGCATGTAACACTCAAGTACACCTTACCTAAACCCTATAGCAAATGATGACAAAGCCTAAATAAAAGAAAAGGCAAAGAGCTCACCCCTTTTCCCCCCACAAGGCCGTGTAGATTCAAACCTAAAAGCAAAGGATCCTACCCTCCTCACACCTTGACTTCGACCTTTCCCCCAAGAAACAAGCACACACAAGAAAAACCAATTTCCCTTCCTCCCACCTAAGGCTTCGACCATTAACACCTCTAGGGCATAGGAATATAACTTCAAGCCTTCTCATTATCTACTATTAGCCACCATTAACAAGGAACAAGTCAAGAAGATAGTGAAGACCCTTCCGTGCTCTTGAGGTTCACGTAGGAGGTGAACACCTAGGAGATCAAGAGTGAAACGTTCGGTGGAAGGAGTACCCCAGTGAACATCACCCTTTGAGGTAAGATCCCTTAAACTCTATGATCAAGTTATGGTCCTATAGTCATACACCTTCAACCCTCTTATTTTTCGAATTTTATGAGGACTCAAAGTAATATAAAACCTTCACCCCTTTATTCGAATGCTTGAGATCTTAAAAGGAAGGAAAACCTTGTTAGAGTTGGACTCACATTGTTAAAATATTATCCACAGTATCAGAATCATCTTCTAAGTAATAATAACCTATAAGGCCGAACTTAAAAGGTGAGGTGTAGACCAAGTAAATTCTAGAATCACCTACTAAGTCCCATTATTTGTTTAGGCCGAATCAAAGTGCAAGAAGACCAAAGCATTACTTGGCCGAACTCTAACCCCTTGAGGAGTGAAAGGACGAGACAATAGGGTAAGTGATTTACGGTTGTTGTAGTGATTTCGCTATATTTCCCACCCTCTATGTTAAAGTGTGGTATGACTGCAATTTGTTGTATGATGTTGTACATGATATGTTTGGCTGTTTGGAACTAATGTTTTGTTCATGCAAGTTGTATTATGATGGCCTGTGCACTAATACCGCAGAGGCAACCGGACGAGGACCCTGGGTATTCGTCTGTAAGACCATGGAGAGTAATTGCCATGGCGGGATTGGTATGATGAAATGAAAGCATGATTATTTTCCAAACTATGTTCTATATGTTTTTCCATCCTATTATTGTATATGTTATTATATGATAGTTGGAGGAGTAAGCATCATGGTTTGGAGGTTGCTCCAACTGTGAGTCCTTACTAAGACCCCCATTCTCACCCCTCTTTGGGGAAACCCACTTTCAGGAAAAAATGACTAAATGGGTAAGACAGGGAAATAGGTTGGTGCGGATTGAAGAGGACACTACGCAGCCACGTGCAGTTAATGATGACTCCAAACTTTTGTAAAAATTTATGAACTTACTATCTAAAGGAAAGTTTTTGGAGGCAGAATATGTTATATCTGCTCTAGCTGGGTCCTTGTGGATTGAAGATGCACCTTACTAAGGGTGTACTTAAATTCTATTTTGGATGACTGTAGTAGACTATGTTACTTACATTTTTCTTTTGGACATTTATTTTGCGCTGATGATACTCTATTTTGGGATCTTATGTTTGAAGCTTATGCTTCCTTAGACATTAAACTTGCGCCTATGGTATTATATTTCAGGGACTTTCTTTTTAGATGGCTTTCTGTTTATGGACTATACGATTAGTTGTAAGACCCATGTGATTCGATCATGTATGAATATTAGAGGTTAATTAACTAAATGTTTAGACCTCATAAATGAATAAGAAATCGGGATAAAGCTAGGACGTCATCCTAGGGTCTACGACTTTTAGAGGAACTTAGAAAGATATTTGGTTTGATGAGATTATACATAAAGAATTTAAAGGTATTTGCACTAGTGGCTGGGAACTTTAGAACAATAAGAGGATCTAATGAATAGAACTGTACCGGGAGCTAAAGTAAGAATAGATAGGAGTTGGATCCCAAAATAAGTTAGAAATTTATCATGACATAATGCAACCTAGGCTTGCGACTAAACCGTAGACGCTAAGAAATTATGACTAGATGAGTAACTAAGATAGAACGAAATTAGTTCCCTAGAATAAATTCAAGTAAATCATGCTTAATGTCAGTCTTCCGCGCGTAGTATGTCAAGCAATGTTAACACCTAAGAGGAGCCTTTTAAGGGTGTTACATTTTATGGTATCAGAGCATTTTCTGATCTTTGAATATAACTATTCTCTAACCCCTTGTTATACCCTGTGAGATATGTGCAGCACTATGCCACCACGTAGACCACCTACTCGCACCAATCCTCCTAGTCCCGAGGACATGCAAGGTCAAATCAACACTTTAAGGGATACCATCACACAGATGCAGACAAACGCGAGGGAAATGTTTCAGAACATTCTGAATGAAATAAGACGCAACCCTAACAACACAAACCATAACAACACTGCAAGCGGCTCTGGCACAGCAGGAGCCGGTGGTGGTCCCCAACCGCACCCAAACCATGGAGCGGCGGGACAAAATAATCAAGACTTATTACTGACCTTTAGGAAACACAAACCACCCTCCTTTCGAGGAGGACATGATCCGATCGTGGCTGTGCAATGGCTGCAGGCCATGGACAAAATTTTCAAAGTGATTCAATGCACCGAAGATCAGAAGGTGCTATTCTCGGTGTACATGTTTGAAGGAGATGCCTAGCATTGGTGGGCTAATGCGTCTCAACCATTGGAGATGCAAAATGTGGCAATTACTTGGGCCGTATTTGAAGAAATGTTTTTGGAGAAGTATTTCCCGATGTCAATCCGGGACAACAAGCAAGGCGAATTTGACCGACTCGTGCAAGGGACCATGACAGTGGACCAATATCACACTAAGTTCAACGAGCTACTCCGATTAGCGACTTATCGAGGGACCATGCCCATGCCGGATTTTCTGACGGCAAAATTTCAAAGGGGTCTATCCGCTAGGATTGCGGAATTGGTAGCTGGTAACGACACATGTGACATGGCCACCCTAGTAAACCGATGTAGGAAGGTGGAGGCGGTCGGTTTACAAACAAGAAAACCCGCGGAGGCCAGCGGATCCGGACACAGAACTCCGATGGCTAGGAACGGACCATGGAGAGGGAAGAACAGAGGCAGACCGTGGCAGCCCAGGCGTGATGATAACAAGTTCAAGAGGCCTGGGAATCCTCGAGGAAATGGCAACAGGGCTCCCAATTGCCTCAGATGTGGGAAGGCACATTTCGACAACTGTTTGAGTGGTTCGATGAAATGCTTCAAGTGTGGCCAAGATGGACACTTCATCAAGGACTGTCCACAATGGAGGGAACCCCAGCCAGCAACAGAGGCGCCAAGAGTGGGCAGAGTCTACACGCTGGACCAACATAAGGCGGACCAGGCGGCCGAACTAGTTAAATGTACGATTAATATATGTGGTGAGGAACTATCTGTGTTATTTGACTCTGGAGCAACCAATTCCTTCTTTACCGACTATGTGGCAAAAGCCTTCAACTTAACCATGAGCCCAATGCAATCCCCAATGCAAGTTACCTCTGCGACGGGGGAAGTGACAATGTCTCACTTCGCATGCAAAAATGTAGAATTCATATATAAAGGAAAGAAGTACAACCAAGACTTCATAATCCTCCCCTTAGCCAAACTGAACCTGATATTGGGAATGGATTGGCTGGCCAAATAGAACGTAGTAATTGATTGTAGCAGCCGAAGTATAATAGTCGGCGGGGACATGATGGAGACCCCACTCCCCAATACTCCACCGGTCGAATCAGGAGATTGCACTTTCATGCTAATAGCCGGTCTAGTAGGTGCGAGTGAGACACCGTTGATGAACATTCCCGTGGTCAAAGAATTCGAGGATGTATTTCCTGACGACATTACCACCTTTCCCCCTGAAAGGGAAGTGGAGTTTTCTATTGAACTTATTCCCGGGACTGGACCAATCTCAATTGCACCCTACCGTATGTCTCCCCTTGAATTGGTAGAATTGAAGAAGCAGCTAGAAGACCTGCTAGGGAAGAATTTCATCCGACCCAGTGTATCCCCGTGGGAAGCACCAGTTCTATTTGTAAAGAAGAAGGACAGATCAATGAGACTTTGCACGGACTATTGGCAACTCAACAAGGTGACTGTCAAGAACAGGTACCCCTTGCCTCGTATCGAGGACTTAATTGATCAGTTAAGAGGTGTGAAGGTGTTTTCAAAGATCGACCTCCGATCAGGATACCATCAGATCCGGATTAGGCCGGAAGACATCCCTAAGACAGCCTTCAGATTCAGATACGGACACTACGAGTACCTAGTCATTCCTTTCGGATTGACCAATGCCCCGACAATATTCATGGGCTACATGAATCAAATCTTCCAACCTTACTTGGATCAATTCGTGGTCGTATTCATCGACGACATAGTAATATACTCGAAGAGCAAAGATGAGCATTCAGAACACTTAAGAATTGTGCTACAAGTATTGCGGGAGAAACAACTATATGCGAAACCCTCGAAGTGCGAGTTCTGGTTGCCAGAGATCCAATTTCTTGGACACGTAATTTCAGATAAAGGAGTAGCAGTGGATCCCAGTAAGATCGAAGCAGTAGTAGACTGGGAACGACCAAAGACGGTCACGAAGATAAGGAGTTTCCTTGGACTAGCAGGATATTATCGAAGATTCATAGAAGGGTTCTCGAATAGGGTATTGCCGCTTACCCGATTAACAAGAAAAGAAGTCCCTTTCATATGGACCCAAGAATGTGAAGCATGTTTCCAAGATTTAAAAAGAATGCTGACAACAGCTCCAGTATTGACGCTGCCAGACCCGGAGGAACCATTCGAGGTATATTGTGATGCCTCCAAGATAGGCTTGGGATGCGTACTTATGCAACACGGCAGACCAGTAGCGTATGCATCCCGACAACTAAAGCCGCACGAAGAAAACTACCACACACACGATCTGGAACTAGCTGCGATCGTGTTTGCTTTGAAGATATGGTGTCATCACCTATACGGTGCAACTACAACAGTGTACAGTGATCACAAGAGCCTCGAGTATTTATTCGATCAAAAAGAGCTAAACATGAGACAGCGCCGTTGGATGGAGTTCATAAAGGACTACAACTTTGAATTGCAATACCATCCCGGCAAGGCGAATGTAGTCGCAGATGCCTTAAGCAGAAAGACCAGAGGAGTTGCGAGCATGATGATAGCCGAGCATCAACTGATAGAGGAATTCCGGAACTTGGACTTAGCAGTGGCAAATAGCGAATGCAAAGCCGAATATTGGGTAGTACAGGTCTTGGACGAATTACTAGAAAGAATCAAACAAGCTTAGCAAGCCGTCGACTGCTTGAAGAGGCTGAGGAATCAATCTGGGGTTAGCCTGAACCAGCAAGGCATAATTACCTTCCAAGGGAGGATAATTGTCCCTACAAAACTCCTGAGAGAGGAAGTCATGGAGCTGGCGCATAAGAGCCAATACTCAATACACCCAGGAGCCACCAAGATGTATGTAGACTTGAAAAAGAACTTCTGGTGGAAATGAATGAAAAGAGATGTGGGGAGGCACGTGGGCAAATGCATGGTGTGCCAGAAAGTAAAGATTGAACATCAGCGACCGGCAGAAACCCTTCAACCCTTGTGCATCCCGGAGTGGAAATGGCACAGTGTATCTATGGACTTCGTAACAGGTCTACCCAGAACTCAAGCAGGCTATGGTGCCATCTGGGTAGTGGTCGACAGACTAACCAAATCGGCACACTTCATACCGGTAAAGGGGACTTACACGACAGAGAAGCTGGCTTAGATTTATGTGAAAGAAATAGTAAGGTTGCACGGTGTTCCTGAAAGCATAATCAGTGATCGGGATCCTAAGTTTACATCCCGATTCTGGTCTTCATTACAGCAGGCGTTCAGGACCCAACTGCGATTGAGCACGACTTATCACCCCCAGACAGACGGCCAGACTGAAAGGACAATACAAACACTCGAAGACATGTTGCGGGCCTGCGCCTCAGAGAAGGAAGGATGTTGGGATCAGTATCTGCCGTTGGCAGAATTTTCTTACAACAACAGTCATCATGCTAGTATCGGCATGGCTCCATACGAAGCACTCTATGGAAGGAGGTGTCGCACACCTGTATGTTGGGAAGAAGTTGGCGACAAAGAGTTGTTCGGACCAGACATGATCAGAGAAACGACGGAACAGATCAAGATAATCCGCGACAGGCTGCGAAAAGCCCAAGATCGACAGAAAAGTTACTATGACTTGAAGCCTCGACCCCTAAAATTTGAAGTAGGGGATCATGTATTCTTCAAACTCTCCCATGTTACTGGTGTTGGCAGAGCTCTTGGTGTAAGGAAGTTAAGCCCACACTATATCGGTCCCTATCAGATTCTGTAAAGGGTAGGACCGGTAACCTATCAGTTAGCATTACCACCCAATCTGGCAAATCTTCACGATGTATTCCATGTAAGCCAGTTGAAGAAGTATTTGGCGGATCCCTCCCATGTTGTACTACCGGATACTGTGGAAGTAAGACCCAACCTGAAGATCCCGATGGTACCCTACAAGATTCTGGACAAGGAAGAGAAGCGCCTTTGTAGCAAAGTGATACCAATGGTGAAGGTGCAATGGCAAGGAACGACTCCCGAAGAAGCAACTTGGGAGCGAGAAGACGAGATCCGACAGAATTATCCCGACTTAGAATGTTTGTAATTTTCGGGACGAAAATTTTATTAGGTAGGGTGGATGTAAGAACTCAAAAATCATGTACTCGAAATTAGCCTCATGAAATGAAATCAAAGGGGCAAAGCCCATATTCAGTGAACGATTAGCTTTTGAAAAAGCAAAACTAGTCCTAAGTTAGAACAATCTTGAACCCACGCTAACTAAGATAAGTAATAACCCAACTCAATAAGGTTTAAAGCCTAACCAATATCATAGCCCAATCGGCTTAAGAATGTAAATAAGTTAAGACCAAGTGAGAAAGGATTTAAGCCCAAGCAATGCAAGCCCATTTTATTGAATAAGATTTAGCCCGAATAGTATACACATAAAGACCCAGGCCCACATCAATTATACAAAGCCTTGGCCCAAACACTAATGATCCAACTTCTAGTAACTTAATGGGCTGAAAACACCCACCAAGCCTAACCCAATTCAAAAGATAAACCCTTGATGAGGTGTCACCACATGATTGGAAGAATTTGAATTAGTTCTAACCCTCACATGTCCACCTCGGTTTTAACAAAAGAGGATGTGGTTGCTTTCCCCACGCTAGGCGCTACATAAGGAAAGGAAAGGTGATGTAGGAGTTGTGTAAGACACACTCCAAAGCCCTAATCATGCAAGTTATCCCCTTTCTCCAAAAAGAAACTCTCATTTCTCTTACACACCTTGAACAACGCAAGCATGATGAGAAAAGGAAGAATTCTTCTTCCACACTCCAACGCCTAATCATGCAAAAAACAACTCTCTTTTCTCTTACACACCTTGAACAACGTAAACATGATGAGGAAAATGAAGGTTTCTTCTTCCACACTCCAAGCCATGCATGACACATCACAAGAACCAAGTCTTTCCTTTCTCCCTAAGCACACCTACACGGTCACCAAGGTGGAATCACATGACCAAATCTCCTTCTCTTCTCTCAACCTCGGCCAAACCACCTTCATGGAACCAAGAAAACTTATCACACTCAAACCACTCACACACTCCACACTCAAGCACCCTCACCCTCCAATGCATGTAGCACTCAAGTACACCTCACCTAAACCCTAAAGCAAATGATGACAAAGACTAAATAAAAGAAAGGGCAAAGAGCTCAACCATTTTCCCCCCACAAGGCCGTGTAGATTCAAACCTAAAAGCAAAGGATCCTTCCCTCCTCACACCTTGACTTCGGCCTTTCCCCCAAGGAACAAGCACACACAAGAAAAACCAATCTCCCTTCCTCTCACCTAAGGCTTCGACCATTAACACCTCTAGGGCATAGGAACATAACTTCAAGCCTTCTCATTATCTACTATTAGCCACCATTAACAAGGAACAAGTCAAGAAGATAGTGAAGACCCTTCCGTGCTCTTGAGGTTCACGTAGGAGGTGAACACCTAGGAGATCAAGAGTGAAACGTTCGGTGGAAGGAGCACCCCAGTGAACATCACCCTTTGAGGTAAGATCCCTTAAACTCTATGATCAAGTTATGGTCCTATAGTCATACACCTTCATCCCTCTTATTTTTCGAATTTTATGAGGACTCAAAGGAATATAGAACCTTCACCCCTTTATTCGAATGCTTAAGATCTTAAAAGGAAGGAAAACCTTGTTAGAGTTGGACTCACATTGTTAAAATATTATCCACAGTATCAGAATCATCTTCTAAGTAATAAGAACCTATAAGGCCGAACTTAAAAGGTGAGGTGTAGACCAAGTAAATTTTAGAATCACCATTTAAGTCCCATTATTTGTCTAGGCCGAATCAAAGTGCAAGAAGACCAAAGCATTACTTGGCCGAACTCTAACCCCTTGAGGAGTGAAAGGACGAGACAATAGGGTAAGTGATTTACGATTGTTGTAGTGATTTCCCTATGTTTGCCACCCTCTATGTTAAAGTGTGGTCTGACTGCAATTTGTTGTATGATGATGTACATGATATGTTTGGCTGTTTGGAACTAATGTTTTGTTCA